CCAAATTTTGTGTTCTTTTTAGGGTTTGTTTTTACCTTAATTGTTTCCTACTTCTATTAGGTTTGTATTGTCTTTAAATAGCTTTCAATTTCACGTGTAAAGAATCAAGTTTAGTTGAATAAAAATTACTCGGCAGAGTTGTGTTCTTTGAGATTGTTCTCAAGAATCAAATCCTTGAGTTAGTTGTGTGAGGAATTCCATTGCTAATTCGAGAACCCTTGTCAAGATTTTCTATGAGGATTCCATAATCGGTTAACAAGTTTTCTTATCAATCAAGTAAACACCTTGATTGTGGCAAAATTCTACCTATCCATCAATTATCGTTCGAGAGATCGTTTGATGTGTAGTTATGATCAAAAGCACCCCCTGGTGCTTTATCAAGGCGTGTCTAGTTGCGCAAGGTATTCGTAAAGAGTTTGACATTGATTATGAGGAAACCTTTGCACCTGTGGTTAAAATGCAGATGGAACATGTCGTTTTTTGGTATAGCTTCCATGCGAAATTGACCACTTATTCAGCTTGATGTTAAAAATTCCTTTTTGTATGGTGATCTTAAGGAAGATATTAATATGGAGTGTTCAGCAGGTTATACTAATGTAGAACCACATGTGATGTGTAAGCTTAGGTGATCTTTGTATGGCCTCAATCACGCTCCACACGCTTGGTTTGAGAAGTTTCATGAGATCATAATTCATGCCCGTTTTCTGCAAAGCGACAACAACCCTTCTCTTTTCATTCGACATATGGTAAATAGAATGATTGTCTTACTGCTTTACGTTGACGACTTGGGGATCAGTGGTAGTGATCTTGATGGGATACGAGAGCTTCAAGATGCGTTGCATAAGGCCTTTCAACTTAAGGAGTTATACGATGTCTCATACCTCTTGGGACTTGAAGTTCGGTGATCTTCGAGTGGTTTGTTTGTGTGTCATAAGAAATATGTTGCGGATCTTCTGGCTTCTTATCATTTCAGTGAGTGTAAACCCATTATGGAGCAGAATATTAAGCTAGGTCGAGAGGGTGGAGACTTACTTGAAGACCATACGATGTACTGCAACATAGTTGGAAGCCTGATATATCTTACACACACATGACCCGGTATTTCATACGTAGTTCAAGTCCTTAGTTTGTTTCTTGGAGTGGCTAGAGGACCACACTTGATTCTTTGCATAGACTGCTTCGATAGTTAAAGAATGCACAAGATGTCGACATGTGTTTTCCTGCTAAAGAAGCACCAGCTTTTGAGGCTTTTGTTGATGCGAATTATGCAGGATTTATCTATACGAGACGATCGATGTCTGGATGGTGCATACATTTTGGTCAGTCATTTTTCTCGTGAGTATCAAAATCTTCAAGTGAGGCAGAGTATAGGTTTATGTGTGAGTGGGGTCGGAATTGGTATGGTTGCAGCGTGTTGTTGCGGAATTAGGGGTAGAATGTCGCATACCCATGTGTGTCTATGGAGATAACATGAGTGCATTGCTTATAGTAATCAATTCAGCCTTGCATGAGAGAACAAAATATATCGAGGTTCATGTTCATTATATACGATAGTTGGTGACAGAAGGAATAATTCAACTTGTTTATTTGTCAACGAAGGATCAGACTGCCAATTGGTTAAGATAAGCTTCCAGCTCAAGTAGGCATTGGTATCTCACTTCCAAATTGATGTTTTGTACCCAACATCATAAATTTGATGAAGAGTGTTCATTATATCATTATTATTGTAACCGTGCTCTATAAGAAAACATATAGCTTAGGGTTACTTCCTCTAACCCTATGAATATTGGAACGTGTAGAGACCGAAAATAATAATCTTACTATATGAGAGGGAGATCCTCTCGGTAGACTAGTGTCATACTAACGATACCACGTTAAAAAAACTCTTGTGTGCCTTACCACAATTTTTAACATTATCAATGCTATTTAAGTGATGAAAAATATGATTCAAGGCAATCTTTTTTATATAGGAGATTCAATGCATTACTCTATCTAACCCGTCTGACTTGTTTAGTGTGGTTTTCAAGAACCAATTAGTCTCAATAATTTGAGTTGTTAGAAGAAATCTATATATGGATCTTAATCATTTTCTTACACATCTTCTGAAACAAAAACAAACTCATGGACTTGAAAATTGTACAGGCTGGTGGCTTTAAGACAATGCTTAATATTAGGGTGTGAAACTTGAACATATGACATTACAGTGAACCAAATTCTTATACTATGTAAAGAACCAATTGATATCGATAATTTGAATTATTGAGGATGTATCGGTATATGAATTTTAAATATTTCTTACATGTATTGTCTATTCTACTCCATCTGTTTATACCTTATTCTCGACCTAATTTATCTGCAGTGTGTCTAGCTAACATTTGCTTTCATTTTTCATTTTTTACTTCTCCCTTAAAAGTGAGCCAACTAAGGGTGTGTTCCAGTCTCTCAAACTATTTGGGTATATTAGTCATGTCATTAATTTATTTTTTTTTATTTTGATAATGCTTTATTTTTGTTTTTTCATACAAAATATCAAATTTTGTATGCACATATATTCATTTCATTGATGCAAATGCAATTGTGGATTTGCTTATGATCTTATGTATAAAGTTTATGGCAACAAATAACAAGAAATGAGCTGGACTGCAGTGGTAAAATATTATGCTCTTGTCTAAGAGACGTTGATGAGTTTGATTTCCTATATATCCATACTTATAAGTTGATGATATTTTACTAAGAACTAAGTGTGTCCCGTAACACGTTGATTATGGTGTGGCTCCGCACAAGCTCCCTGGCTACAAGCGTATTGATACATAGCAACATGCTTAGCTTACTCTCTTGAAACCTTAATTTGGCCATTTGTGGATGCACAAAGACAAACAACATCGTCTTCTCATGTACTGCAAGTTAAAGCAAGATTCAAACCATCACTTCTTAATTTCCACGTGTATATATTTGTTTTTCCTTCCCGGCGGGGGGAAAAAAAAAGGAGGAAGCGACCAAACAATGAAACACAGCATTTGGAATAGACTTCCAAGTTAGTATTCACACCCTAAGACAGATCCAACACAAACCCACGCTCCATTCTCTCCCCCGGCCAAACAAACATCAAACCCTATCTTTCTTTCTTTCTCAACTTTTTCATTTGTTCCCTCCTTTCTTCCTGCGCTCATACCTATCCCCTTGTAATTAATTTCATGCTTCAACCACAATCCTCGAATATATGTCCATCACCAACCCCTTTACTTCCTCCTCCTACTTCCCTTCTATATATATATATATGCCTAGCTAGCCACAGCTCCCAAAACAATAACTTGCATATGATCCATTGATCGATTCGTGACCGAAATGGATCGAAGGAAGAACAAGTATGGCGGGAATCAGGAATCAGCTGCAGCCAGTAGTACTGAAATGAGAGTGGAAGACGATGATAATGGGTTCCCGGTGTATTCAGCCAGATCTCAGCTGGATTTGGATGTCATGGTCTCCGCTCTCTCTCAGGTCATCGGCAGCTCTTCGTCGTCAGTTGATGGCCGCCGTGTTGTTCATCAAGAAGCAGCTGCAGGCCATCCTCCTCAACAGCTTCCGCTGCCTGTCCAAGATCACGATCAAGGTATATATATATTTGCATATTTCTATATATATTATTCATGTAAATGATTGACTATAATTAACCATTTGAAACATCATTTGTGTCAACGACCTCTTAATTAGCTTTGTCCTCCCTCTTGGACCACAAATTTGTATTGCGACGATGAGCTTCTCCTGGATGGATCAACGCTTTTTTGTTTCGGGTCATACGATACGAATAGTATTCTAGTCTTTGTTTTCCTTTTTAGTAGTCTACAACTCGCTTAGGTAAAATGTCTAAATTCTCATGATTGACGATTAATGTAGTTACGTATGAGGTATTGTAAATAATGAAGATGTAAGATGATGAAAGAAGCTAAGCACACACTTGAATGGTGATGGTTCACTTAATTAAACTCTGTAAATAGATTTATTTGCACTTTGATTTTAATGGTGAAGGGGAGGAGGGGAAAGAAGCACCACGGCCCAAATAATGAGTCAAATATATATATAGATGCCGCCGTACTACTCCTTTCTCCGTTTTTTCACTTGGCTTGATTATCTGTTGTGTGACTGACTACATGCTGAACTCGCTAGTGTCGTTATTGCTAGCAAAGTTCCTTAGTAAATTTTTGCACCTCCGCTTTCTCTTTCCCCATTGTAACTCCTCTCTTTCTCCCTCCCCCACCCTCTCTACCAAATCAATTCATAGTAGATCTACTAGGCGTAAGACGGACATTGGACTTCTTAACTAACGCCTAGTTCGTTTAGTCGTTGCATAACTGTGTCTAAGCGTTGCAAGCAAAAAATAGCCGAACAAATGTAAGGTTAAACGTGCATTTTTGAACACCATCACACGCAGTAGATTAACATCCTTAATTAGTTGATATATGTAGGACTTGAATTCGTTATTTGCGGCAATGATTTTGTACTATGGAATTTGAACTGAATCACAAAAACCATATACATATATAAGCTCGTTTATTCTTCAACTTGCCAATGATAATAAACATTTGAGTATATATAGTGACCAAGAGTATGAAACCTCAATTAAAAATGCACATGTCAAAAAAGAAGTTGCTTCAAAAGCGTTTCTGCTCTCATAATATTCTTTACGCGTAAAGTGCAGACTGCAGACGTCAACAAATGAACAAAGTAATCAAAGCTCAACAATTCCCTTCCCACTTAGGAAACAAGGGGGAAAGTAAGTAGTAGTGATAAAAAAAGAACAACATGAAAATCCGACTTTAGTACTTATTTTTTGAAGACTAAATTAAATGCATCCGTGCATCTATATAATAATATTAGATTATATTGCATGTGCATCTAGAATCAAAGTGATAAATATACGCGTTGGTGCAAGCAATATTAGCAGGCGGAGACAACACCAGAAGGCGGCACTACAGAGGTGTTCGGCAAAGGCCGTGGGGGAAATGGGCGGCGGAGATCCGAGACCCCAAAAAAGCGGCCCGGGTTTGGCTGGGCACCTTCGACACCGCCGAGGCGGCCGCGCTAGCCTACGACGAGGCCGCCCTCCGCTTCAAAGGCAGCAAGGCCAAGCTCAACTTCCCCGAGCGCGTCCACCTCAACCCTTCCCACTCCGGCTACCTCACCAACCGCCAACCGCCGCCACCTTCTTATAATAATTATAACCTCGCCGGTGGCCGCGGCGGTCCTGTTCAGGTTCACAACAGTAGTCAAGTCTATCATCCCAGCTTGTATCCTCGGCCTCATCATCCTCATCATCAGCAGCAGCAGTTTGTTCAGGGCGGTGGTTATGGCTTCACCTACTCATTCGGCGGCCAGCCGGCTCCGGCGACCGGGTACCAGCCTTTCCCGACAACGATATCGGCTATGTCTTCCACGTCAGCGTCCGAATCGCTGCACCAACAACGACAGCAACAGGAGGAGGAGCTATGGAGGCCGTTTTCCATGCAGTTGGGGAGTGCTGCTCATAATAATTACACCTCTTCTTCTTCCTCCTCTTCTTATCCTCATCCTCCTAATGATGGTATGGATTTTGACTAGCTAGTGTTCACTGGTGGTGGGCGGTTGATGATGGGGATTCTTTTATCTCATGTTTTTTTTTTTTTTTTTTTTTGGTTTTGGGTATTTTGCTATTTAGTTTTGCTTAAATTGGTCTTCCTGTTCTACTTCTGCATTTAATTCTCCAATGTTTTCTCTTTCGTCACGGTGTGCTATTTCTTCATCAATTATAATTGGAAGTATTATATATGTATGATGTATCAATGCGTTGTAATGCACTTGTACGTTTCTTTTAGATTACAAGTAGCAGAGGCGGAACATAGTGGGATCTCAAAGGTCCAGAATTTTAAAATTACGCAATATTGATAGAATAAAGCTGGGGTGACCCAGATTAGCTAATCTTTTTCCATGTTAGCAAGGTTCAACCGCATAGGCAACCAATTCTACATTGTTTTTTTTTTTAAATTTTCACCAGAGAAGTACATTATTTAAAAAAAATTACAGGCCTAACACCCATATTTTTAAAAAAAAAGTAACTGGTAATAAAATCAATCATGATAAGAGATTCCACAAATAGGAACATTTAAGTAGTTGAATATGAAATGAGGAAGCACATTTGCAATAAATTGAATTAAACAATTAAAAAATGGACTCAATGGCCAATGAATAGGTACCAATTGGGGAACAACAAATATAAAGATAAATTTGAAAATTCTTTTTGGTTATGGAACTTGATTTAAATTGTTGAGACTTATTATTGTGGTTCTCTTGTTAGGTGTAACAAAAAGATAACTGATTATGCATCTATTAAGTCCAACAAACAAAAAGATAAAGGTGGGATTTACCGTGAATTTTCAACTAAGATGGTAAATAGAAGAGAAATAGAGGATATGAAGAAAAAAATCAACAAATGCAAAAGACAAAAAGGAAGAACATAGTATCTGGTTTCATTGGTTTTTATGTCACTTTTGTACTTTTTGCTTGGGATTGAGAGATCTCAATACTAAATTTCTATGTGATATGGAGTGAGAGAGATGAGTAGAGGTGTCAAAACAGAACCCGACCCGACTAACCCGATTAACTCAAACTAGATTGACCTGCAACCCGATAACCAGAACTTGATTGACCCAAACTCGACTGACCCGTGACTCGGACTATTCAACCTGAACCCTCGGATCCACCTGAATAATTATCATATTATATAATACATAGTCTTTCGAAATGAATTTTTTCATTCTAAATCTAGGTATAATCATTTTTTCATTTCGTATAAGAAATTTAAAAAATATGAAACTCACTTGAAATTATTTATTTTAATATTATTAAAAAAATTAAAACATGAAGGTCACTTAAGCATTAAGTTCTTTAACAAATTTGAAAAAATAAATACAAATATAAAATAAGTACAATGTCAATATTGATATGAATAATTAATAATTGAGACCATGTAAAATATTAATATAGTATATATAAATTAAATTTTTTGTTAATTTAACTACTGAACAAATTTATCAATTAAATATAAATAGAGTAAAGTAAAGTACTGCATTTGATAATTTCATGATTTTAAAAATAAATGTTAATTTTGGTGTTTTCAACTTTCTGGTAAGAGAAAAAGAGGTAAATTTGGTGCTTTCAATTTTTGGAGTAAAGAAAGAAAGGGAATTTTTTGTGTTTTTTATTTGTGGGAAGAGAAATAGGGGAGAAATTTTGGTTCTTTTGACTTATGAAAAGAGAAATAAAAAGGAATATTTTATGTTTTCAATTTTTTGAGGAAGGAAAGAGAAGGAAAATTTGGTTCTTTCCATGTTATGGAATGGAAAGTTGAGGAAAACTTGAATTCTTCTAATTTATGGAAAGAGAAAAAATGTGGAGAATTTTAGTTTTTTCAATTTTTTGTGTAAAGAAAGAAGGAAACAAATTTTGTGTTTCAAAATTTTAGCCTTTCAAATATGAATATTTTATTTTTTATATGGAGACCTGACTAATTATTTTATTATAATTTTATATGGAATAACTATTTGGCTATATTATATTTGAGAAATTATGATGAGTTATCTCATTTTTAATATAATATCACTCTAATGATCTCATGTTATTTGAAATTATAAATCATATGCTCAATTACTTATCAATATAATTATCAAAATGTTTACCTATGAATTATGACGATTTAGTAGTTTAACATTTAGTAACTAAAAAATTGTCTATAGTAAATTTTATTATAGTCTTATAAGGGCATATGACTAATTGGATGTAGTAGATTTGTAAACATATCATGAGTTAGGAGTTTAAAATTTAGGATATAGCAAAGATTCCTTTTTAATATATGTTTTGAAAATCAATGTTTGGATTTCATTCTCAATTAACTATAATAGCATAATCATAACTCATAAGGATATATGATTAAAGGGTATAGGATACGTGGTCAGGGTATAGGGTATATGGTTTAGGTTTAAGGTATATCAAAGATTCCTTTTTAAATTAACTAAAGTAGCGAAATCATAACTCATAAAAATATATGGTTAGGGTATAATACACGTACGTAGTTAGGGTATATGTTTATGGTATAGCAAAGTTTCTTATTAATCTATGTTTTAAAAATAAAAGTATGAATTTCACTTTAAATTAACTATAGTAGCAAAATCATAACTCATAAGGATATATGGTTAAAGGGTATAGGATAAGTGGTCAGGGTATAGGGTATATGGTTTAGGTTTAAGGTATATCAAAGATTCCTTTTTAAATTAACTAAAGTAGCGAAATCATAACTCATAAAAATATATGGTTAGGGTATAATACACGTACGTAGTTAGGGTATATGTTTATGGTATAGCAAAGATTCTTATTAATCTATGTTTTAAAAATCAAAGTATGAATTTCACTTTAACTTAACTATAGTAGCAAAATCATAACTCATAAGGATATATGGTTAGGGTATAACAAATATACATTTTTAATCTATGTTTTGAAAACTAAAGTATGAATTTCACTTTAGATTAGCTATAATAGCAATTTAGATTTCTCCACAATAATTTTATTAACATTAAGGTAATTAAAAAATAAGTTTTGAAAATCCCAAATGTATAATTTAAGTTCCCTACACCACTTTCCTCCCAACTTCTCCCTCCCAATTTAGATTTTCTTCCAAGAATTTCCCCATTTTCCCTCCGCCCTAATTTAGATTTCCCTCCAAGAGTTTCCCCATTTCCTCCCTCTTCCTTCAATTTAGATTTCCCTTTATATATTTTTATGATTCACTATATAATTTGTGGTTAGATAAGGACTATTCGATGAAAAATTAAGAATGTTCATATCGCCATAACTATTAGCTAGTGTGCTTACTGATTTATGATTAATTACGTGACAATTTTGCAAGTTATACAATATGATTCACAAATTTTTTCACTTTTATAATTACATATTACATATAGGATTTGGAAAGAAATAGGCTAAAAATATGTTTTTTTAAATAAGTTAATAAAATGTGCAAATTGCAGTTATGTGTAAGAAGTAAGTAACTCAATGCGTTGACCCGAAAACCCGCAACCCGAACTGCCCTCAACCCGCCCGACCCACAACCCGATTGAATTGTAACTCGATTGACCCGAAATCCGATTAACCCCTAACCCAATTGACTCGGAACCCGACTGACCCGAAACTCAAATAACCCAGAACCCAACGAACCCGCAACCGATGAACCCGAAACTCGACTAACTCGTAACTCGATTGAATCCATCCCGAACCTGCCCGATTGACACCTCTAGAGATGAGTACAAATGCGTGCATAACTAAATACAAAATTTGCTCTCGGGCGATTCCATTGATTCCAATGCCACTTCGTGCTTTTCGATTGTTTGATATTTCATCGTTAACCTTTCTATTCGACCTCGCGCGAGAGAGATGAGTAAAAATTCATAAAAAGTAAGAAAGTCGGTCCTGAGCTATTTCATTGGTTCCGATGCCTCTTTCAGCTTTTCGATTAAGAGTGAGATTTCATCGTTAACTTTCTATTCAACATCGAGTGAGAGATGAGTAAAAATGCATAACCAAATACAAAAGTTGGATTGAGCTTTAAATTTATAAGTGGAAGCACACTCCAGTCTTTTCTAACAAGGCCAAGTATAACTATGCTAGGGATGTAGTAAAGTGGCTCAGTCGTATTCCAAGGGAACCTTAAGCATACTGTTACTTCACTCTAAACTACTATCTAATGAAATTGGAAGGTTGGGTGAATTAGCTAAACTAACCTAACAAAGAACAAAACAAACAACCAACCAAATGTTTAGGAGACAGTTAGAGATGAGATGGTTGTCTAGGATCGAATTTCTCTAGCTATAGGTTGATACGGGCGATAATATAATGGTTTCTTAAGGTATGAAGGTCACTAAGATGGGAAGAGACTCAATGTTCATGCAATCGATCCCCCTCCTAACTAGGATAGTCGGTCCAATGTCACCTCAATTGGTTTACCTAACCAGGGGTATGTACTACCTCCTCTAAACGGATTATATCAGTCCGCACACAAATCGAGCAAGCTGATGTTCATACACGTTACCCCATAAGCATTACCTAGATGGACATCTAATAAGCAGGAGTACGGTTTCCTCGTCAAACTAGATTCCTAGATCATTCATCTACTCCTAATTAGCCATAAGGTGCTATATTTCCTACAAAACATTAGGGATTTAAGTCATAGAGAGGAAGAAAACACAAACTAAGAAGAAAGCGAGTGTTGGAGACTATCTTCTTCTTTTTTCATGCACCTTCTCCTTGCTCCTTAGATGAATTGGATCTTCAATTAGGCTCTCAAGATGTTTCTCTCTCTAAAGAGTGCTCAAAACCCTTATTTTCTCTCTCAAAGTTGGCTCTCCTTTGTCAAGTGCAAAAAATGGGGTATTTGTAGTGTCCGAGCACTATTCACGGCCTCGAGGGCATGACCAGCCTAGAAAGGCGTCGAATTACCCAAAACTTCACATTTTAACTTCATCTTCAAGTTACTAGATTCTGACCTCCGTAAGATCACATCCGCAAACTTTTGTGCCA